CTCTGAAGATGCCTGCCATAGATGTGGTCGAAAAGTCAGGAGATAATGCTACTGGAACATGGCCATACAGCCCTGAAAACTCACAGCAACCTAGTGATCCCAGCCATGAAAGCTTTCGACAACATACTGATTTAAGTTCTTCCAAGTATTCTTAAATGTACATGTGAAGCCATGCAAGCAAAAAATCTGTCACAATTATATATAATCTCCAAAGTTTCACTGATAGAAACTGGGCCATATGGGGCCAAGTAACATAAGTTATTAATGAGGAAAAACACACAAGTTAGGAGAGGCTACAGCAGTTTACTTTTGCTGGCATCTATTGTCTAGATTTTGCCCTCTCATCTACTAAGTTAATTGATACAAAGTACTTTTTGCACTTTGGATTCATTTTTCAACAACAATAGGGACAATTGGGGGAGGGAAGAAAAGCCGGAACACTTCAAAGCTGCTGGAAAAATTGAGGAGGGGGCAAGTTTGTTTTCTGCTTTTCTAAAGAATCATGGATTCAAATTGCAGGGAAAGAGATTCCACCTAAACATTAGGAAGATCTTTCTGATGGTAAGAGGTGTTCAACAATGAAATGTGCTACCTCAAAGTGTGGTGGAGTATTATTATTATTTTTATTATTATTATTATTACCTCGCTTTATCTCCCCGAAAAGGAGCGCAAAGCAGCTTAACACAAAAGCATCAGCACAACCATTTAAAATATACAAATATACGAACATTAAAACAGGATTAAATATAAACAGTATTTTAAAATACCCAGTTAAAAACCATTAAAACAAATTCAAAGTTTAAAACCACAGCACCTCCTGAATTGATTTTAAACACCATCATTTTTAAAAGCTTGCCTAATAAAAAGGTTTTAGCCTGCTGGTCAGGAAGTTCCAGAGTTGAGGGGCAGCCACTGAGAAGGCCTGCACTCTCGTTCCCACTGACCAAGCTTGAGATGAAGATGGGACTGAGAGAAGGGCCTCTCCCGAAGATTTCAGGGCCTGGGCATGTTTGTACAAGGGGATGCCATCAGCCTGGACCTGAACCATCTAGGACTTTAAAGTGCTCTTCACTCTTCCAACTCTATGATTCTAAGTGGAATGACAGGGAGTTAATCACGACTGTCCCTGTCAAATTGGGTCAGTTGGTGAATATTTTCTAACTAACCTCAAAGAAAAAAAAAACCTAAGCCTTAGAATAAAGTTAGCAGCATACACTTTGGACTAACGGGTATATATTTTGCTATTGCAACACCATGTGAGGTCTTCTGGTGCCAATCCAGGAATTAGAGCATAACTAAAAGGGTAAAGACAATGCCCTCTACCGTTAGGTTGCAGAAGTGGGTGATAAGATAGGTGTATGTGGGGAGTTTGTGACCTTCCCCTGTGTCCGGCCTGGGTCTATTTGCCTCAAGAAGGCTTCCTTGCCCAGAGAGGCCCTTGTTCTGGAGCTCCCTGTGCTGCAGTCCCTGCTGGCATCTAGAGAAGTGGCAAAGCACTGAGTCAGCAACTAACCCCCCTCCTCCCACTGCATCCCGCTGCTGCCAGGGAATCGACAAAATCACTCAACTGGGAAATTAACTCCAGCCTTGAAACATCCCACCCTGGTGGCCAGTGAAGGTCAGGGAACTGGAATCGGTGGTTCAGGGCTAGCAAGTGAAGAAGCCCCAAAGTAAACTATGTGTACCCAGAGAGCTTGCAGTGGTGGCATAACAAGAGGGAAAGGAAGGACTGGATCCTCCCCCAGACACCAATCTCTCTCTGTGAAATACAACCATGGGCTTTGTAATCCGATATTTGCATCATAAATAAATGCTGGAAACAGCAAGGAGTTGGTCCAGTAGTTATGACAAGATCTCTTTCAGAGGGATGACAAGCAAAACCAAAACAACATCCTATGCTTGGCATCAATGAATAAATATGAGCTGACGAGTTGCCACCATGAGGTTTAAGGCAGAGCTGAGACAACTGTACCTCTCAAAAGACTGACTTCTATTCCCAGCCTTGCCAGTTAGGAATTACTGGAGTAGTAGTTTATTTATGTCTGGAGAGGTAAAAGTTCACCAGTTCTTCTGGGCACTGAGGTGTGAATGTGACAGGCAGATGAGTGGGGGTGGCCCATCATAGATAGCTATAGCAAAGTAATCTTTGGGAAAACAGACAAGTCTTGATGGGGTTGAATATGAAAGATGGATAGATTTTAGAGAAGGGGTGATGAGGAAATTCATAGAGCTACAAGATAAACATTGGATGTCTTAAACTGATTACAAGTGGAATGTCAGGAATGGGTAATTGTGACACGCACCAGAAAAGGCATTGTTGGTATTGAGGAAGTAGATCTCCTCCCGTCCATCTCCATCAATGTCACAGGCTGTCACACCAATCGCATTGCCTTGGCGATCCCGTAGTGCATAATATGGAGAGCTACGTTCGTTCACCGCAAGATTCACCAGCCGCCCCCGTGCTTTATCATATTTCAGCACCAGATTGGGACCATTGTACCTGAAGAAATAGAAAGACCCAGAAAGGTGAAATGGAAGATGACCTGAGGATGCAGCCCTTTCCCATCGGATCTTTTCTGCCAAAGCAAATCTTCCATTCTTTCTTAGACAGGTTCTAAAGGAGGTAGCAAAAATCACATCCCGTATTGGCTGTTTCTGGAGAGGAGAGGAAGACATCACAAGAATAGTTCCTGAAGCCAAACAGGGATGGGCGTGAGAATTCATACATTATGACAACTGCATTTTGTTTTTGTTTTTCCAACCTAGGACACCATGCAAGGGGAATAATTCCATTTGAGTGGGTGCTCAAATTGTTCATGTTCTGCTAAAAGCCTATAGTCCAGCTGGGAAACATGGGTTTTTTGAACTGCCTTGTGCCTCACTCCAGGAGAAAGATCGCATATAAATGAAATGAAATAAATAAAAGGTTATCACAGATGCTTCTGGCCAGGCAGAGATAACATGGCGAAAAGGCATGTCAAAATAAAATAATGCATGGCTGATATCTATAACAAAGCATGACTCCTACATCAAGTTGACTGCATCATGAAATCCAGTCCCAGTTGTAGATAAACAGATTAATCATACCCAAACTTTGGAGAAGCTGTTTTTCGGACTATACTGGGAATTCTGGGAGCTACAGTTGAAAAAGTTTATATTTCAAAGTTCTTATTGCTGCCTCAAATACCCTATAGGGCAGGCATGGGCAAACTTGGGCCCTCCAGGTGTTTTGGACTTCAACTCCCACAATTCCTAACAGCCGTTTAGGAATTGTGCCCACGCCTGCCCTATAGGGCAATTCACAAAGACACTCCAACCTGATTTTCAGGTTTCTGATTATGGAAGATATGGGAGATGTCTTTTTCTCCCCGATTTCAGATCACTCTTAATCAAATCCTGCAGGCTTTGAAGGAAAAAAAATCTTCATATCAGTCAGCAAGCCAAAAGGTAATTTGGTATGTTTTCACTAGCAGTAGCTCAGGCTTTCATTTTGTTTCATTGTGCAACTTATACTAAATCTTCTTTTGCTATCCATCTTATGCTCAATAAACTTGATTCATTGGGTGAGATACATTGCTTGGTTAAGGGATAAGGATTTGAAGGTGGGTTGGGAGGCGAAGGGGGTTCGATGTCTACAGAGGCAGACTTTCTTTTCTAATTTTAACCCTTCATTCTGAAGCACTTCAAGATCAAGAGAGGCACCCTTGGGGCTCCCCAGGTAATAGAAGCTAGCTTGGAAAGATCTGAGTGTAGCTCGTTTGTATTATCATAGATCTGATTCCTGCAAAATTCAAGTTGAAATATTTTGGTGCCAGTTTGGGGCTGCAGTGGTGCAGTGGGTTAAACTGCTGAGCTGTGAAACTTGCTGACTGAAAGGTCAGTGGTCTGAATCCATGGATTGGGGTGAGCTCTCGTTGTTAGCCCCAGCTCCTGCCAACCTAGCAGTTCAAAAATATCCAAATGTGAGTAGATCAAGTAGCTCAGCCCAAAAGGTAATGGTGCTCCATGCAGTCATGCCAGCCACATGACCTAGGAGGTGTCTACTGACAATAGCAGCTCTTTGGCTTTAAAATAGAGATGAGCACCACCCCCCAGAGTTGGACTCGACTCGACTTCACGTGAAGGGGAAACCTTTACCTTTACCTTGGTGCCAGTTTGGGGGACCAGCAGAGATCACCTGGACTGGTTGGTATAAAGCCAGTGGCCGGAACATTTAGTACAAAGATGACAAAAGCTTATACCAAATGTGTTTCACTTGTGGTTTTGTTGGACTGCAACTCCATCCAGTCCTAACACAATCAATATTGAAGGAAGATGGAAGTTGTGATGTAATAAAATTTGGAATACAAATTGTCCTTCTGCAGTCTATAACCTTTTTGGGAATTTGGTACTGCCTTCACATCATGTTGTTTGTTGTGTGCCTCAACTTTTTTCTGAGGCACAGTGAACCTATCATGGAGTTTGCTTGGCAAGATTTTTTTCAGGAGGATTTCTTATTGCCGTCCTCTATGTCTGAGAGACTGACTTGCTCAAGGGCATCCAGTGGATTTCAACAGCCAAGCAGGGATTTGAACCCTAGTCTCCTGGAAATCCTTTTCCCACACTCAAGCCAAAATACGATGCTGGTTCCCCAGAGCTTTCACACAGCCCTTTCCCATTTTACAAATGACCGAACTGTATCCTCCTACTGAGGCTCTGTAGTGATCCAAGTTACAGAAAACTGATTGTTTCATCCTGGGCAAGAACTGGATTCTTTCTGACATCCACCCATGCTAAGATTGCACAATGCAAAGTTGCAGAAATGCCTGAGTGGTTTCATCTGGCGGCTAATGATGTGTGACTCTAATGTGGTTAGCATGGAGTTCGCTAAAGCTGAAAATGCATAGTTTAGAGAGAAAATTAATATCATGGAGGAGAAAGAGAGCAGGGAGGGGAGTCTCAGCAGCTAATAATAATTAAAGAGCTGGGCTAAACCTTGAGAACAATATTACAAAGTCCTGGAGAAAACAATGGGAACCAATGTTGCTCCTGCATCAAAGGAGAAGCAGGTATGAAGCCCAAAAGGAAACCAATCTGCAAAGAATGATAGCTGCAGCTGCGGCTGAATCCTGTGAAGTATCAGAGATGCTGACACATCTTTCTAGAGTTCCGGGTACCAAGATTTTGCAATTCTATGACTTTGATTGGGAAACGCCAACATCAGAAAACATACAATGCACCTTTGACATTAGTTTAGTTTAGTGTTTACACCTTATTTTATTTTTCTGGTTATTTAATCTTTAATGTTTGTTTTACTTAAGTGATATTTGTTCTTTACTGTTCTAATGTAGCACAAATCCTATGTAAAATCATACTACATATTTTTGACATTAATATTGAAATCTGAAATACATACAGAGCTGGGCTAAACCTTTCTATATGTGTTGTTCAAGTTTGGACAACACATATAGAAAGAATAGAAATATATCAGCCATAGATGCAGGTGAAATGTCAGGAGAGAATGCTGCTGGAACATGGCCATACAGTCCGAAAAACTCACAGCAACTCAGTGATTCCAGCCATGAAAACATTTGTCAATAGAAAATAGATTCAAATATTGCTGGTACTTCAAGTCAAGTCCAGGGCTGGGAAAAGGTACATTTACTACTTGGGCAGTTCTGGAAGCCCTAGCCAAAAAAGCAGCATTTTCTTGTTCTCCAACTATTACATAGTAGTTTTTTGTGACATACTCATCCCAGAGCTGGAGAAACATACCATATATGTGTGTGTGTGTGTGTGTACACACACACACGCACACACACACATATATGCTACCACTTCCAGATAGATATAAACTTATAGAACTTGGGGAGCTCAGTCTTCATATGGTGGAGGTTTGACTTGCATAGTTCCCATGCTCTCTTCTAGGATCAGGAGAACAGTAGCTTTCACTGAGACTGAGACATGTCTTTTGCTGCTGGCCAGACCAATTTGCCAATTTCAGAGCTAATGACTACACCTGTAGCTTTAACTGCTCCAGGGCAATGAAGCAGGGTAGAAAGAGGGATTCTCCTACTTCATTCCTAATGCCAGACAAGTTGAAGCAGAGGAAATGTTGCTGCTGGGCTGCTGCATATAGTTTCACTCTGTTCTGGAGTTCTTACAATTACAGCTATGCTCTCCAACTCTGAAGTTGGTGACCCTGAGCCCTAAGCGTGTTACTTGATCAATGAAATCATCTGAATTTTGAAAACTCTCACTACATAACACCTATAAGCAAAGGGATAAAAAAAGTTTTGTTCTCCCTCTGGTCCTAATTACAGAAGTTTTCTAGTGCCACTCTCGGGTAAGAGCGAACAGCACTGCATCCCAGTTTAGGACTCTGCTTGAGCTGGCTCAGCAAGAGCCGTACCCTGACCGGTGGTAAACAAGTTACACAAGCACCAATCCTGCGGTTATGAAATGTTCTGCCTCTGTTTGTAGTTATGACCTGGCACCGAAAGGAGGCAGAAAATTGCTTGGCCTTGCCACTGCCATACCCGCCCCCCTCTCCTGAGGTGTGAATGTTTGCTGCCAATCTCCTGTGAAAATCTCTACAACTTCTCTTCCATATCTGACCCATCCATTCCACATTCTCAGGTTGCCAGGATTCAAACCTGGCTTGTAGAGAGTATACTGTTGTTTAGAGATATGTATATCCCTTGGGGAAGTTGCTAATGTGTGTGTCATGTGTGTTACAGCAGACCTAGTCTCCTTTCCTGCACAAATGATGTAAATTGCAATGTTGTAGGCAGAACTGGAAAGGATAGTTTTTATGAATGGTGACTTCTAGAATTCTACATCTAATAAGATTAGCATAACTTTTCCAGGCTTTGTCTCCAGGAAGTTATGACTAAGATATGAGCCCCTGGTAGTGCAATGGGTTAAACCTTTTTGCCAGCAGGACTGCTGACCGGAAAGTTGGCAGTTCGAATCCGGGGAGTGGGGTGAGCTCCCATCTGTTAGTTCCAGCTTTTCATCCGAAGACATGAGAGGAGCCTTCCACAGGATGGTAAAACATCTGGGTGTCTCGATTGGGCAATGAGCTCCCACCTGTCAGCTCCAGCTTCTCATGCGAAGACATGAGAGAAGCCTCCCACAGGATGATAAAACATCCAGGAGTTACCTAGGCAATGTCCTTGCAGATGGCCAATTCTCTCACACGAGAAGCGACTTGCAGTTTTTCAAGTCGTTCCTGACATGAAAAAAACCCCCGACTAAGATTCTATTTTTCATTGGCTAGTTTACTTATGAAAGAGGTCCATAGGACACAACGTGTTCCTTTTTCTTGGTTGTGCAGTAGCAGCTATGTGGCACTTGGGTATATCCTTCGACCCTTTAATGACTGTTAAAGGGAAAACCTGGGTATCCCCCAAAGCCATGGAAAAACATTTTGCACAAGGAGGTACTGAAAACCCCTTGAACAATATCCATAAAAGTACTTAGACTAGCATAAGCCCTACTAACACCAGCATGAATCTC